CCTGGTTTCTGTGAGGAGGGCTATACTTGCTGTCAATAGAGCTGAATTAGGGCCAATCAACAGCTTACCTTGTTTGCAGGAGCTCACAAATTGTCAGCGAGAGGTTCTGTGTGTTTCTAGGTAGGTGGGAGCAGTAGTCTGGCCTAGAGATTCGGCGGATGGAGTTGCAGGATGCCCTTAGGTTTTGTCCTTTTGGTGCAAACGACTCAGGGAAATTTGCAAAAAATCCCCAAATTCCTTTGGTCGCTGTACCACCTTTCACACATGTCTTCTCTAGAGGCTGCCGGAGGAGAGCTGGAGCCTGCTGCAAACTCAAGGGCCATCCTTTGAGATTTCTGAGAGGAAGGTAGGTTCTAGAAAGTGGATCATCACAGCCTTCATGAAGCCAGGCTCTAGGGGCAACTTTCCAGCCAAATCCCCTTTTTCTTCTTTGATGTCAAAGTCCACAAACTGATCTCTCTCTCTCTCTCTCTCTCTCCTCTCTCTCTCTCTCTCTCTCTCTCTCTCACACACACACACACACACACACACACACACACACACACACACACACACACTATCCTTCTGTTTCTGCTCCAGCTTCCCGGAGTCCTGAGATCGCAGGCTTGCACAACCATGCCTGGCTCTTTTCCCTGAACTGAGACAACAGCTCAGTCTGTTTGCCTAGGAGTGCAGGGCCAAGACTTCCTGGAATGTCTGCCCCTCTGCCCCAAAGGCAAGCAAGTAGGTCTGTGTCATTTTAATGGGCTTTATTAACACTTCTCAGGACACCGCAGAGTCACCAGAATGAATAGGTATGCTCAGTTTTTTCTTTCTGATTTGTATCCTGTCTCTATACTTGGCTATGAACCAACCCCTTGTAACGGGCAGCAAAATGAATGTTTTTCTAACAATAAATATTTCCCCTCCATTTGGCTTTTTACAAAAAATGTGCTTTTTAAAAAAAAATTTGGGCTGAATTAAATTTCTTTTAGTTGCTAGTAAAGAGAACCAACTCTGGAGAGCTTAATCAACAATGACAAAACAGTGACAGGAAGTGTTAGACTATGTTATCTACCTTTAGGTTTGTTCTCTAAGAAATTCCAGTGGAATTTGGTTACATCCTTTTTAGAACAGTAGGAGACAAGTGCAGTCTTTACAGCCTGAGTCTTCCTGATGTGCTAGGCACTGGTTATCACTTTCATCATAGCAATGAACAGCGCAGTTTAAGTCGCTCAAGCCACTGGAAGTTGGATGTTTTTCTAAATATTCGACAAAGTGCCTTCATGTTCAGTAAGGGAAATGCTAGAAACTCCCAGGGTGGGAGACTAGTCAAACAAATGCTGCATGTCCACAGAAAGCGACGTGCAGAATCTAGAACTGGCATCATCGCAGCTCAGCAGTGGTACAGCCACACTTGGAAGCCAGCTTGTCTGCTATCACAGTTGCTCTTTGCCCTAAGCCATGCTGCTTTCCAAGGGACATCACAAAAAAGCACTTTTGCCAGGCACCAATGGCTTATGCCTATAATCCTAGCTAGTCAGAAGGCAGAGAGAGTCTGTAATCGGAAGACTTCCAAATTCTTTGAGTCCCGTGGGGAAGAATCCACGGCAGGACATGTGGGTGTAAATGGAGTTTATTAAAAGTTAGAGAAGGGAATTACAAAAAGGAGCATGGTGGGGCCTGGGTGGAATCTGGAGGCAGAGAGGGCATGTTTTCTTCTCTAGGTGCTTTTTTTTTTTAATTCATTTATTCATATGTGTATACATTGTTTGAGTCATCACCCTCCCCCCCTCACTTCCAGGCAGAACCTGTTCTGTCCTTTTCTCTAAAAACTATACTAACCTATGGGAAGGGAGGAACCAGGTGATTCCCACCCAATAATCAATGAGTGGGGTGGGGCATGGGTTCCTGGGCCTGGTGAGGGTGGGCCCAGAGCATGGTCAATCTGAAATGCAACATTAATTTCTAGGAGTCCCGTACATTTCTGAATTTTCATCTGTCTTGCTATATTGAAAAAAAAGAGTTCAAACCCCAGCACCACAAAAATAAATAAATCAAAGTAAAAGTAAAAGTCACTTTTCATTCACTTCATGTGTGCCTGCAAATTTGGAGAAACAGCTCCTGTGCAATAATTTCTATCAACAAGATGAATTCCAGACACACAGTGCAAAGGCTGAAAATCGCTGGCATTCAATCTTCCATCCAGCCAGGGGAGGTGGTAACTGATTATTCAGAACAAGGGGGTGGCCTTAGATTTGCTGCACAGTTTAGGCATTCAGGTCTCTGCATTTTTAAAAATAAATACTCACTAATTTTGAAGCCCTGATACGGAAATGTAACTGAGCCAGTACTGAAATTTTCTTAATGACCCAAAGACAAATTATCCAACTAAATGAACAAATTGTGTATGACATATTTTGTTATGTATGTCTTTAAAAATCACAAATTAAAACAACTCATTGAACCTGAGCAGTCTTTGATATAACACAATTTCTCAAAATGCTTACTGATTTTAAAATCAGCCTGAGTTGATATGAAGTTTTGATAAGTCGTTTTCTTCTTTCTGGGTAGATTTTGTACACATAGCATGTAAATGTTGGCTTTACAAAAAAAACCTGATACTGTGTTTTCACTGCCTTCCAGAAATGCTGAGAATCTATTGTCTCTGCCGTTAAGGGAATATTTTTTAAATGGGGGGAGGGGGGGCGGGTGGGTTGATCAGGGATAGTTCTTCTCTGTAGCTGACTTGTCTTATCTTTCCCCCCCCCCATTTTTCTGCAGTGTTGGGGACCAAAACCAAAGCCCAGGCAAAGCTATGCAAGGCTTGAGCTACAACCCAGCCCCCTTTCTTGTTTATCTTTAAATAGAAAACAATTCCAGTGCTATTTGTACCCAAATTTCTAAGAAAAGAAAAGAGGAAGTATCAAACCCTGAAGATGGAGCCTTGGTTCCCTTGCCTCGTGGCACAGGCAGGAAGAGCCAACTGGCTTCAGGATGGAGCCCTGCCTGATCCACGCCCTCTCCCCTTCTCTGGAACTACAGGCCTGGGGTTCTGAATTAGGAGGCAGTGCTCTGCCTGGCAGGAGGAACACCGCCAACAAATCCAAGTCTGCTGGGGATGGGGGGATGGGGGGGATGTGAGTTTGTAAATCCCCTGACTGCCTTTCACAGGCTTTTGGAAACACTAAAACTGTGGACCTTGAAAGGGGAAATTCCCAGTGGGAATTTACTCAACTGTGACCAGTTAAGAAAAAGGGAAAATGTAAACCATGATCTTGGGTCCAGAAAACAGAGAGAAGCTAAGCTCAGGGGACACTCAACGGTGGACTCCTCTACACCAGAAATCGTTGCCTCTGGGTCGCACTCAGCCTTCCAGGCCAGTTTCTGAGCCGGCAACAGTGGAAGACGGGATGACCACGACAGGCCCTGTGCCCTGTGACACAAGGGGCTCAAAAGCCTCCCTCAGTCCCAGTCTGCCATCCCAGGGTATTTTGGGCCCAGTTGCCCCCCTCCCACGCCCCTCAGCGTGCGGGACTGCGCCTGGGGTCCTCATGCCTCTTCCTGAGGGGCTGCATCTGCTCACTTTTGTCCGCCTTTGGACCACGAGGGCTTCCTATGGCTGGCACCTGGCGGGCACCTGTCAAGCTAGGTGAAAATAAAGGAAGGAAAGGAGATGGCCGAGACAGAGAGGTAATGGGCTCCGCATAGGCTCCCTAGACCGCGGCGCTGTTCATTGAAGACGCGCGCTCACAACCGCGCCACCGTGCAGTCCACTAGGATACGGTCCACGACGCATCCTCTCCGCGAAATGAAGGGCTCTCGGTGGCAAATCCTTATCCTCTTCGCTCAACCCCGCACCTGGACAGACGCGGACAAGCCAAGGCTGGGCCAGGGGGATACGGGGACTGGATCGCGGCTGTGTCCCAACTGCAGCGCTCTCCGATCTGCTCGGAAGCGACACCGAGGTCAGCACCGCGTCGCGGGCTGCCCGGGTTAATCTGTCACAACTCCTTAGATGTCAGCACGTGACACTGATCAGAGGTGAGGGAGGGTGGAGCCCTGCACCGCAGTGGCCGGGTACTGTCCCTTCCCGCCCAGATATTGCCCTCTGAGGCTACCTTACTCCTTCCTATATTCCCAAGATCGCAAGCCATAGCTGACCCCGGTTCTGCGTGACCTGCAAACCGCGTCTCATCTTTGAGTTGGGTCTCTCCGAAGGCAGCCGCGATCCCCCAGTTCAGATAGCACTGTCAGTAGGGCAGCGTCACCTCTGGTCCCCGCACCCCCAGGTGGACGCCTCTTCCCACGGGTCCTCCCAGCACTGTGCGACCGTGGATCTCCAGTCCCAAATCCGCCACCGCGAGAGTGGAGTCGACCCCAGAGCCCAGACTCCTTGGGAAGTGAGGAAACCGGCTCTGTGTTTCCAAAGCGGCAGGAGACACTGTCCCCACTCTGGCCCCAGGGCTCGCCCTCGGCGGGGGCGGGTCCCCTTGGGGTTGGTGGTTTCCAAAGGTGGAAACCGACTCAGCCGGCGGCGTCCCCTGACCCCCACCTGCGCGCGCGTTCCCCAGGGGGCCGGCTGAGCAGGGGCGGGGCCGCCCGCTGCCCTTGACCCTGGCTTTCAGCCTCGGGAGTTCGCTTCTGACTCTCCCGCGCGTGCCTTCCTCAGCTCCCCCGCAGACCGGCCGGGTTACCGTACCGCGGCGCGGGGAGGCCCGGGGGCACCGCTCCGAACTCGGGCGAGGAGCGCGCCCCGCCCGCCGCCGAGCTTCGACCCCGCCCGCGCCGAGCTCGGAAAGCCCCCGCGGCTCCTCCCACCCCCGAGGGGCTTTTCTCCAGTCTCCAGTGACTTTTCTCCTTGAGCGCAGCCGCCTGGCGCTGGTTTCCGCCCGCCTGGAGCGCGCGGGCCACTGCTTTTCTGGATCGCAGGGGGCAAGGAGCGGTGACCTCGGTGCGCACCCCACGTCCGAGTCTCCTGGCCCGCGCCCCGGCCCCCGGCCCGCTCTCCGGCCGCCGGCATGGTGCTGCTGGCCGGGCCCGGGCCGGAGGGCGGCGGGGAATGTTGCATGTCCCCGCAGCCACAGACCCCACCCCGGGGCGCGCAGGTCGGGGACGACCCAGCTGAGTACGAGGAGTACGAGGACTTCTCCAGTCTGCCTGACACCCGCAGCATCGCCTCGGACGACTCTTTCTACCCTCCCGGAGACGAGGAGGAGTGTGGCGCGGTGAGCTCAGTGAGCGCGCAGAACGTCCCGGAGGACGACCTGGAAGCGGCGACCCTCCTGCGCGCCGCTTGCGCTAACGATGTGGGGCTGCTGCGGGCGCTGGTGCGGCGGGGGCCTCGCGTCGAGGAGGTGCAGGAGACCGACCGCAACGGCCGGGTAAGCGGGCGGCTCCGCAGGGTTTGCTTTCCCTCCTCTCTTCTCCCCCGCCCCCACCTTCGCGCCACCCAGATCCGGACTCCGGTCGGGCCCCGGGGCTACGGTGCGGCCGCCCTGAGCACCTTTTCCTCCCTGGGCGCGCCGCTTGTGCTCGAACTGCTGGCCAGGGCGGAACACCGCTCCTGCGCCTCTTCCCACCGCAGGCCCGCTGCGTTTACCACCCTCGGGGTCCCTGAATGCCACCGGGGGTCGCCTCTTATGGGATGGCTTCAACCTGTTCCCCTCTGACCGTTCCCTTTCCCCAGGCCCCTAAGTTGGTGACCATCCCTACTCTCCTGCAGGGGACAACCCTTTCGTGCCCCCTCGGCCCTTCTCGCTGCCCTTATCTGGCACGCCCGCGCGCATCAGTCCTTCCGAGGCCGCCAGGATTTGGAAGCGAGCGTTCCCACCCTTACCCACGACAGCCTGGTTTCCTCTTCGCTGCGCCTAGTGGTCAGCGCGATCTGTCAGTGCGGTCGCGGCCGCGAGCCACTGTCACCCGCAACCCCCACCCCCCCGGGCCTGGGGAGAGCAGCAGAGCCGCGGCACACGCGCGAGCAGGGCAGGGAGGGAGGCACACAAGTATCCACTTACTATATCGAGACTCAACGCAAAGCACGAAACATTTAGAAAAGGAAAGAAAAAAGTTGCCTTGAGAAGATTCCAGGACTGGTTTGTGGCACAGCCCTCCCACCACTAAGAGAGAGACATTCCAGAGTGACCACGATGGCCATGTCCCCATTAGTCTCTGCTGGGTGGACAACTGGCGACATTCTCACCGAATTTCCATAGTCCCCAAGGCCCCAAGGTATCTGTAGACTCAGCCTGGCCCTAATCAGGGAAGCGTGCCTTTGTTTGGGAGCCCACAGCTGACAGAAAATATGTGCCTTAATTTGGGGACCTGGTGTCCCCAGTGCCTTTGGCTTATCTCCGTGGAGTGAGTGTGTGTGTGTGCAAAGTGGTACATCCCTGACTGGGCTGGTATGGAGGAAGCCAGCTTGCTTCACTTTTTGCTTCTGCTCACTTTGACACAGCATTTGAACTTGAACAAGTAGCTTGTGCCTGAGGGTCTCCGAGGGACTGCAGTGTCCCCCTCTCCAGCAGGGCCCCCTCTGCCCCGGCTTTCTGGCAGGAAGGGAGGATTGTGACCAGCAACGCTCAGGAGCTGTTCTCAGCAGCACTTTCGATTTGAGTGAAATGCGGGATCTCAGCCTCTTGCATTTGTGTCAGAAACCTCTCCTTCCTGAAGCAGGTGTGGGACCAGCTCCAATGGAACCCCCACACAGCTCCGGAAGGGCACAGGTAAGGGAGAGCTCCCTGTTCTGGGCAACCTGGTGGTCTCCAGTGGGCGGGGCCCTACTCAGAGCCGCTACTGGGCTCAGCTTTATTGTGTTTATTGTGTTTCCTTTAGGGGAAAAAAAGAAAAAAAAAGTTTGAAAGGAGCTGAGAAAGCTGACAGAGCAGGTGGTATTTGAGCAGAGGTCAGAGAAGATATCTAAGGGAGGAGTTTTCTGGCGTGAGAATGGCAAGTGCAAAGGCCCTGAGGCAGGAACCTTGTGTCAGTCTGGTCTGCCTTACTTCACTTTGTCCTTACCAGGGTGAGAGGTAGTGACAAACGTAAGGAAGGGTCAGGGCTTTAGTGGAATTGAAAGGCAGTTGCATTAAAGACAGAGCCACAGCTCCTAGCTCACATCCAGCTTCCCAGGAGGAAAACTGCCCCGAAAGCCTTTGAAAATTTGCTGGTGTGTTGAGTAGCTCCGCTGATAAGGAGCTCAGCCTGAGCCACAGGCATTCCACGAGGCTTGGGTAACCCAGGATCAGATGTGTTTTGTTTAAGCAAACGTGTTCTTTCCTGCCTCTGAGATGGGTAGGGGATTGGATGTGGTCCAGCACACTGTTTTCTTTAAAATATTCATTGCTGTGGAAGATCGCTCAGTTTACCGTGCAACATGTAAATATTTGTCAAATAATTCTCCAGCAACATCAAGTGTGCTCGCACTGCCTTCTGGAACTTAGGGTTGTGCTTCTCCCTGAGACTTGGGGACAGTCAGACGCTTGGGGACGTGCAGCATCGTTCACGTTCACCTCTTGAGTTAGTGGCGAAAGCAGAGGACGTGCTCCTGCTCTTTTACCTGTGGGAGAAGGGCAGGAAGAGTGTCAGCAGCTCCACAGCCAAATTAGGCCCAATTATGCGAAGTTTAGACCGCCGTGCTCACTCCTCTCTGGGTGGATTCTGCTCCTGCAGGTTTAAATGCCAGGCCCCTCGCTGAAAATTTCCAAACATTCCCTGTCTCCTCCCCCCATTCTATCAGCACAGCAAAGTCCCCAGGACACGCCTAGGGTGGGGTCTCCTTTCACTCCAGCCACTTACCTGTAATTCCTGCAGATTTTTGGCGTTATCTTGTGACATAGCTGAGATTTTTGGTAGTTTATTTGGGTGTTACAGGAAGATTTATAAAACTTTGAAGTCACGTTTCCCTAAAATGAGGATCACAGTGTTGGAATTCCCGTGTAGGCCTCTGTCCTCTCCAGGCCTGGGATCTGAAGCTTGCGTGGGCATAGAAGCGGGCTAATTAGCACTGAAGTGAGCCTGGGGCCCTTGCTGGCTCCCAGGCACTGGATTCCTGCCTCCTGCCTCCTGTGCTCGCCCTGGGCCGGGACGCACAGGGAGAGGTTTGCTTTGCTGTTTGGAAATGTGTGCTTGAGTTTGAGTTGCATCTTTAAATTCTCAAGTGTGAGAAAGGGGGCGAGAGGGCCAGGTTGAGTAGAATTCAGTTCTAGGAGTCCCAGGAACCAGAACAGAACAGAACAGAAGTGAGTCCGTCCTGGTGGGTCTACAGAGACACGTCTGCCTCTCCCTCTGCCACTGAGCATGGCACACTGCTCCAGGCCCAGCAGCAGTAGAGAGGCTCGTGTGTTTTTGATAGAGGTGCATCATTGGTCTGTGGCCACCTTAGTGCTGCTTGTGTGAGTCAGCTTCAAGTTGCTATAACAAAATACCTGAGATCATTCATTTATATGAAAGAAAGGTTTATTTTGGCTCATGGTTTTGGAGCTTCCAGTCCAAGGCTGGGCAGACCCATTGCTTTGGGTGTCAGAGGGCAATGGCAGGCAGCAGCCTGGTGACCCAAGGACTTCCCACCAGGCCCCACCTCCCAGTAGCAACACCCTGGGAACCAAGTTTTTAACACACAGGCATCTGCGCGAGACTTATCCAAAACACAGCACCGATAGCGTGCAACCAGGAAACCTTGCGGGTGTACACACGTGAGCTCCTTGCTAAGGGTGGCCCTGCTTAGCTGATGGAGGTGAGATTTACCTCTTTGCTGTAGTGAGCAGGTGGTCACCTGGGGGTGGCAGGACCAAGACAGTCAGCTGGGGTGACTCATCTCTGCTCCAGGTGATGGCTTACCTTCCAGCCCACAGACCTGGGCTCGTTCTCCATGGCAGGAGCAGGTTCCAAAAGAGCAAATAGGGCCCCTCAAGGGCTCCAGCTGGGCCCAGGTTCAGTGTCACTTCTGCTGAAGCAAGTCACATGGCCAAGCCTAAATTCAAGTGGGAACAAGTTACCTGCCTCTCCATGGGAGCTGCTGCAAAGTGGTAGGTGAGGGAGGGGACGCATGGGAGGAGGAGGGGGCTTGGCTGGGGACACCTGGTGAGCGAGCTCTCCCATGGGGTGTCTCTGGAGGGCGTGTGTCTTGTTGGGGCTCCTGGAGGTGCTGGCAGGCAGAAGAGGCGGGTGGGTTGCAGGTGTCCTGGCTCACCAGCCCTGCTGTGATGACAGGTATGGCTCCCCACTGTCTCCTGAGCTCCCAACACCCCTTGCATGCAGGGAGCCTCCTCTTCCATGTCATACCAAACTCTGACTTTGAGCACCATTGTGTCTGAGGGCCTTGGCCCAGGCGATCTGCCCTGTGGAGCCTGCAGGGTGGGCGTGGTTGTCATTCAGGGGGGTGAAGCAGTCACCACCCAGCTAGGAAGGTGGTCTATGTCTGAAACTCGCCATCCCTGCAGTGTCTCTGTCCCCTGTCCAGAACACAGCACTGGTGGAAAGCAGCCCTGGCCAGACCTGCATCCCATAGTGGACACTGGAACACAGTAAGCGGGTTCCTTCCAGATGGACTAGAGGTCCTGTGCTGTTCATTGCAAGTGACCATGGAGATGGAATTGTCTGTGCCCTGGGAAGCCCCTGGCACACTGACCCTTTGTTCCAAAGGACAAGAAACCCGGCCCATTTTCCAAGCCCTCCTTAGGTTTTCATAGACATAAGGCCTGATTCTTAGTGATGAGTAGAGTTGAGCTGGCGGGGTCCCAAGGAGACTCCCAAGGGTGAAGTGACTTTTGTTTGTAACAAAAGTGACATTAACCCCAGTCATTTACTTATTTACAATTTTTGTTTTGTTTTATTTTTTGAGACAGGGTCTAGTTATGCAGCCCAGGCTGGTCTTAAACTCCTGATCTTCCTGTCTAAGCCTCCCCAGAGCTGGGATTATAGGCATGTACCACCACACCTGGCAGATCTGTCACTACAGGTTGTAGGACTATTCAGATTTCTCTTTCTTCCTCAGACTGCTATGGTAACTTCTACTTTTCTAGGAAATTGCCCCATTGATTTCTAAGTTTTACAATTTAATATTGTTATAGAGTTCTCTTTTAAATCTTTGCTGTAACTGTTATATACTTATTTCCTACCTATATGAATTTGTGCTGTTTATCTTTTTTTGTGACAAATATTGTCAGAAATAATTTTTTTTTTTTTGAGAATCAAGTTTTGCTCTGGACCTGTAGTCTTTGCTGTTTCATCGATTTCTTCCCTTCCTTTTTATTGTTTCCTTCCTTTTGGTTCACCCTACCTACAATATTTCCTCAAGTGATCGCTTTTACTTTTCCTCACAAATTTTGGTTTATTGTATTTTTATTCTCTTCTAGTTTGCATTATGATTTTTTAACCTAGGAGTTAC